TATGCGGGACACCCTGTATATGGAATATCTATAGAAATTTAACTGTTGAAGGAAAAAAAACACTGAACAACTCGCACAATACAACAAATTTATGCTTATAGTTGGAGATTTAGTACTAAACGATTAATTATCCACTCAGTTATATTTTTTTTATAAACTTGTATTATGATACATCCGTCCCCTAATTTATTGATAGCATCTATTATTTCTGTTTCCTATTTATTTTTATGGGTTTTATTTTATAATAAATATTTGAATTGTTTATTTTCATTCACACGCTTGACGAATTGTTTATTGATAAAAAGCAAAATGAGTCGACTTGCTGCTTCCGGTTCAAATTAACACTGCATTTGTATGCAAATCAGGAAGTAATAAATAATATAAACATCGTTTTAAATTCAAATTCTTTTAAAACCAAAACAAACGAACGGTGCATTGTTATTTCTTTATTTCCTAAAATCTTAAAATCACTGAACAAATTTTAAAAACTTTTCTACCATACTTTTACTACTAGTAGTTGTTTTTGATCATTGGCCACTGCTGCATTTAAAATCTACGTCAAAAATTATGTAACACAAATTTCTAAAATTTTCCTTTGCCTTACTGCTAGGATATCCATGCACACCATTTTTACTTATTTTTAGATTATTGGCGAAGTAAGATTTACTTTGCTAGCACTAGTTGGTAGGTATAGGTATTCTAAGCATTTGGCAATATTACAAAATGAACATTGTGTATAAAGTAATAATTCGTGTTCTACAAAATTGCATAAGAATTCGATACGGCAATGGTAACAAGTTTCCAATCAGACAGTGAATTATGCGATAAATTTCCGATATCTAAATTAAATAATATGTAATTATCTTATTTCGGCAGATCAAGACACAAATCGAATCGAATAAAAGTTCAATATATCGATAATACAATTAGTGACTAATACGGTTTTATTGTATTTAATTGTATGACTTGATATGTGATTTGATTTAATGTATTATAACATTATCTATATTCATATTTTTTTTTCAATTCCAATAACAGGCAAAAATTACCTTGATTAGATTATCTGTATCTTAATAGCTTTCATGTGATCAAAATCAACGGCAAGGTAGGTTATCGTACAACTGAGTGATTATTTTTACAAATATATACATGTATTTCTAGATTATTATGCAGGAGCAGTAGAGGCTCGATCGGAATTTAGTGGTTTTATAAATTATTATCATTTTTAAACAACTTGCCAAATATGTATTTATAAATGTGGACAAATGCAAATTGATATAGTCGACTGAATAGTCGAGAATGCGAACCTATGTAGATTGACACGAATACATACATACGAGTATTTGCCAATCGTAAACAAATGTCGTATACTGTGGATGGTGTATACTGATGCATTCGAAAGTATATCTTCACTTCAAATATTTTCCAAACTATACAAACGGCATACGATTTGTATTTGTTATGTTTCACGTCAAGTGGATCACCGACCGAGACGTGTAAGGGCTTAAAATGTTCGTCTAGTAAGAGGCTTTCAGACGCAAAGTGGTACTTTTCAAAAATTCAAAATGGCAGACCCAATGTGGCGGCCGGAAGCAGGAAAAAACCTGAGTGTACAGCAAAAAAAGGTTGTGAAAAAAAAAATTCGCAACCAATCGGGTAATTTTTTAGCTCAAATTGTAGCTGAGGTACACCTCTTAACAGCTGGTGTGGTTGGATGAAAAAATCTAAAATGGCGGATCCAACATGGCCGTCAAAAAACCGATTTGGTAACTGAATTTTAAAAAATTTACCGATTTACACCAAAGTTGGTATACGGAGGCTTTTGAGGTCGCTGATTACGAATCCGAGGTCAGATTTGCAAAATTCAAGATGGCGGACGAAATTTCGGAAAATCAACCGATTTCCACCAAATCTGGTATATGGGGGGTTTTCGGAGGTCGTTAAAAAATGACAAATCCAGTATGACGGATAAAATCTTTCATCATATTGGATCCGCCATCTTAAATTTTGCAAATTCAACCGAAGTACATGATCAGCGACCCCAAAAGTCCCTATATAACAAATTTGGTGGTAAATTGTTCGATTTTCCGAAATTTCGTCCGCCATCTTGAATTTTGCAAATCTAACCTCGGATTCGTAATCAGCGACCTCAAAAACTCCCGTATACCAAGTTTGGTGTAGATCGGTTGATTTTCAAAAATTCAGTCACCAAATCGGTTTTTTGACTGCCATGTTGGATCCGCCATTTTGGATTTTTTCATCCAACCACACCAGCGTTTAAGAGGTGTCTCTCAGCTACAATTTTAGCTAAAAAAATGACCCGATTGGTTGCAAATTTTTTTTTCACAACCCTTTTTTGCCGTACACTCAGGTTTTCTCCAGCTTCCGGCCGCCATATTGGGTTCGCCAATTTGGATTTTTAAAAAGTACCACTCACACATTTTGAGCCCTTACACGTCTCGATCGTTCCACGCAATTTTTGTCCAGGTCAGTGAACCGCTTGACGTGAAACATCCCATTTATATATATTTATATATTTGTATTTGCAGATTATTTGAATAAAATCTGCAGCGGCAAAGTTATATGCCATACAACACATACAAATGTGAAATCTGAGCGTGCGTACATTTTGTTGGTGTCTGTTTGTCAATCTTTAGCAAGTTTTCGAAAGTATCGATAAACAGCATCTACATAACACGGCATTTGTTTACCTTTGACAAATATTTGGCAATGACCGCATCATCTGAAGCTAACTTTGTACATCAATATATTGCGTGTATAACTTAGCGCTATAGATTTTAGCAAATATTGGCACTTGTTTTCTTTCATTTTCATTTCTCTTTCAAATTATCTCATATACATTTTTTAATTTTACTTTTCCTAAACTAACCAAAAATTGTCTTGTTTAATTATTCTAAATACACTGCCACGATAAAGCTAGTGTGGAACTACAAATTAATCAGCTAAATAATCATGTGAATCCTGACCTGAAGAGAAAGTGTCGTATGTCACAGCATAACAGCTAAATCACTCCCCTGATTGAATGCAAAACAGAACGATAGAACGAATCAAGATTTGGTGACCTTAATATGGATTTTAGCAGTCAGAATTATTGTAATAATATTTTTTTAGGTTTTTTAAAACAAGCTTAAAATATCAGTATAGAAGAGATTTTTTTGCATTTTTAAAGCCTGAATTTTATTCTGTAATGTTAAATTGTGTCTGTATATACGAGTAGTACTAACACTATTATTCAGAAGTCATTTGGTACTCAAGTATATTTACGCTCCTACTCGCAATAATTGGCATTGGCGCTTTGTTTAACTGATTGAGAACTATGCACAGCCAACAAGGCGCGACTTATTATATTTCCGCTCAACTGCACAAATTAAACTTAAGCCCTGAAATGCGTAAATTAAAAAAAGAGGACTGTTCATCTAGAATTAGATAGAAATGTAGGCACTATTATAGGTAACCCATAGCAGAAGTAACCCCCTCCCCTCCATTAATTTGCCATTGCGCATCCTACCGACAGGGTTCAAATAAAAATTTGGTTTACTGTTTTTATCATCGCAATATCTAAATAACTTTAACTATAAAACTATAATATAAAAAGTCGTTAGTTAATACTGAATAAAAGATTAGGGAATCTTTCTTTAAATTTTGTTTGTATGGATAATAAATTTTCTTACATCTCGTCTTGTATATTCGATGTCAATAGATATATATTGAAAGTTTTGTTTTAGTAAGGTGATATAGACGCTTTCTTATTCCCTGTATAATTGCTCTATTGCAATAATTATTTTTTACATTTTAGTATTCTATACATATTAATAAATTAAATAAACTAAATTAATTAATTCAATAAATAGAATATTTGTTGTATACGGACATAGCAGTTGCAGCGAAAAGGATGATCGACAGATCTTGTGAAAACTACTGAAAATAAATAAATTCTGAGAACGACGTTATATTTTAATGTCGTTTTAATGATTAGCATCAAATTATTTTTGCTGTATTCTTTTTAAATTATATTTAATAAAAGAAAACATATCCTAGGTCAAGGTCGTATTTTAAATTGAATAGGCGCCATAAAGTGAGTACAAATGAGATTAATCAAATTCAGAAATTGTTAATCAGGTAATACTGCTTTTTATTTACAACCACTCGTTTTTACCACTCCCATCACATTCAAATGTTATTGTCACCTTGACGCAGATCGCATCATGTGAACGCATATCGTAAAAACACTTTCGCTTTTCAGATCTATATTTTTAAGGGTTTACATATCTATCTCTGTTTGATCAATGTTATTGAGTGAAAATAGGCAAATCGCGTGCTTACTGGAAACAAATTTATAACTTATAGTAGTTACCTACACTTAGCAATAAATAAAAAATTGATTAAATAATAAATAAATATGTAAACATGCTTAAAGAAAATAAATAGATTACTTTTTGTATATAGGTCGGTAATCAACTTGTTAATTTAATATTCATTGACTATTTTTTTTTAATTAGTTACCTATTAATAAGCTAGTGATGCCTAAAATTGCATAAATTAATTCTACCGTAAAGAATAAATAAATACTAGTAGATTGGATTACTCACCAGGAACAAAAAATTTTCATTCATATAAAGTTTTAAAATTAAGAAAAAAGGTTAAAGATATATACCTACTGATAAAAGAAGGGTTCGCACCTCGTTGTTAAATTTTAATATCAATAAATCGTTTTAATATAATTATTAACGGTATCAAATCTAAATATGATTTTGAAAAATAATATCAGAACGTACAAACGTAATGTTAATAAGCATGTTATTTATACTTACTAAAATAATCAATATTGAGATTGATTTTTTCAAGAAACCGATAGTAAATATGTTTCAACCCACCCTGAAGCTCAAAAGTGCATACAATTATCGCTAATTTCCTAAGCACTAACATATTTATTAAGCTGCATAAGTTAGCGAAAGCGAAAAAGCAGAGTGTTGGTTTACCTTTTCTAGTTCTTTTTCTATCTCTCCTGCCCTAATAACGAGTGGTCCTCGGACCGCATATTCCATAAGCTTGACATTAGGGTTTAAATTATCCAAAGTCAACGTAGGCTGTGCTTGACTCGCCATCGTGCGACAAATTTGTTTTTGAGATGCTGTAAACCACAAAAACCCCACAGTTGACTTGTGCCTGCCGAATGACGTACGGCTCGATTGGCGCAGGTTAAAACCATTACTGTAGCTGTAAAAATGGAGTGGAGATAATAAACGTGTAGTCGACATATTATTGGTCTATTTCACTATTGGGGAATGAATGTTTATTTGTTAGGTATTTCCTGAAATCACTAATGAAGTATTGTTAACAAATTAATCCAGTTGTAAGCAACTGCACTTTTTTGCAATACGCGGTGTCGTGCCGTCAACGCATCGAAGTATATACTAATGTACTATTGACCGACTTAACATGCTATAAAAAAAATAAAGAAATACGATAGCCTTAAAATTAGATTAATTTATTAGACCATACGTCAAAAGTTTATCTCAGTAAAACAAAAATTATATATCCGAAGTACAAGGCCGAAAGGCTGCACTAAGTAATGTACCTATTGATTTTTCAATATAGAATTCATTTCGAAAACAGCTGATTCCACAATGTGCAATTTCAATTTCGCGTAGCGCTACCAACTGAATTGGACAACATTCAAGAAATTAAAAATAAATGGGTAATATAGGTATACTTAAGTATTACATAACTTTATATTTATTTCTACAAATACCTTGACAACTGAACTATAAAATAATAAGAAAGAAGGTGTGTGTTTAAAAAAATTAATATAGATATAAAATGAAAATACCTACTCTCAACTTTTATAGCGAAGAAAATTATGTAGGCAACACAGAATACACACACAGTGGCCCACTCGTCACTAAAGAGCCAGGTCCCTACAAAATTGTTAAATGTTAAAAAAAACTGGCAGGCTGGAAATGCCTGAAGATGAAAATTTAATTTTTTTACTGTTTATAATTACTGACACTGGTTATTATTGATTATAGCTGGCAAATATTAGAGTCTTTATTATAAAGCTAATCCAAATAAATTGAACATCTTTCTATGCAATGGAGCAACAAAAACAATGTTCTTAGATCCCAGAAATCTAGATACAAGTGAGATAGTTTGGGTACTTGCCCTCTCTCTCTCTCTCTCTAATAGTTGAGGAAGAAGTTGCATTAGCCAATCACGTGCTCCCACGAGAGAGAAAGACAGTACCCAAATTATCTCTTTGTCACTCGTTTACACTGTCGCCGTTAGCGTGCTTTCTGCGTGTAGTATATGCTCTATGGGGTGCTGTGATAGTTTTCTGTGTAAACTCAACTCACAATTACGTAAAGAGTTTAAAGCGATATCATCCAATATTTTCAAAACTGCCGCGATAATATAATATTCGTAAAAAGCCACACAATGTATAGTTGTTCCGATGTCAATTGGAACCTGTAAATCTTAAAGCACAGCACCGTATACACTTCTCCTGAAATTTCTTCTTATGATTTGACCATAATGTGTCTCGTAATTTATACTCGAATGGCAATTCGGCCAGTCCGGTATTGGTAAACTAGTCCGCCTGATGTATAAATTAATCCACTTGATGTAGAATTGACGGCGGCGCGCTGGTCATCAAAGCAAACCTGTATTGGTCCACTAGGTCGTAAATAATTTGTATGGTACACGGGTTCACTTAGCTTTGCCGCTTTGCCAGTGCCGTGCAGAGCATTGCTTGGCGGGGTATGTTGTTGGTATAATACGTAGGTAGGTATTATTATTTATTATTTATTATTTGATATTATTATTTGTTCATCTCGTAACCAGTAAAGGGTAATAGTTATTAAAATAAATGTTATATGTAATTATCTAGTAATTTATCGTGGCTCTCTGGAGACTCTTAGAAGCGGAGGATAACGAAATAACTCGGAAAAATCCCCAAATAGTGGAACCGGTTTTTGTCGAAAACATCGAAACAAACTCAGAGTTTAAAAACAAAGATTTACACATAAAAAGTCAACGTATTATATTAAATATAGATGAATGTTTGAAAATTGAAAATAGTGAACAAATGTGATAAAAAAGTTAGGAAACGGATTAACGAATTGACTAAGATATCCAAAAAAGTCCAATTTATGGCGTAATTAAAGAAGGATTGATCACGGCACAGAGGAAACGGAAAAATACAAAATTAGAAAACTGACGATTTTACCAGATGTAATGCGGCGCACAATTTATAATATGTATAAAGAAAATAAAGTTCCTACTTTAAACATGATTCGTGATAAATTAAGCGATTATCCTGATTATAATTATAAATCTTTAGATATTTTACGATATGCTTTATTACAAAGCGATTTTAAACATAAAAAACTTGACAATTTTATGGTAATTATATGGTAATATAGCTCGGAATATAGTACATCTAGACGAGACAGGACTAAAATTTTCTGGACGTCTTTAAATGTTTTTATGCGGTTTCAATTGAGATCGTATACCCAAGTCGATTGTGTCCCAAAAAAATGTTAATAATGAGCGTAGTTTTTACGTTTTTAAAAAACTGTTTCTAAAATATCTCGCAATAAAATCAAACGCGATATAAACACTCACTTTTGACATTAAAAATAATTTTAAAAGCCGTCACTTTTGACAGGATCATAGAAAAATTTATTTATTCAAAGAGATTTGGGATAAGTTTTTAAAGCGCATAAATTTAGAAAAAATCCTAAGTTTGTAAATAGCTTTGATCCTGCTATGCGCATTCCGATATAGTGTTTACAATTTACATAAGGTTCAAAATTCATTGCGTTAATTGACTCAAAACCGTGTGCACCTGCCTGTTGGAAACTGATTTTATTTTAATGCACTAGGAACAAAGCTAATGTCAACATCAAAACTTAGGTTAGAATATATAACCAAAACTTACCATAACAAGTGAACTGAACGGGAATATCTGATACAACTTCGTATATGTATTAGTATTTTGGTCCAATAGTTGACCATAATCCTTCTTTCTGTTGGCACTACTAATTACAAAAAAATTTGACACGTGAGGGAAACTTCAAATTTATGGTAAATCTAGCTAAATGTTTTTTTGGATCTACTATGGACAGTGGTTGAGTTTACATTTGGCGGTTAAGTTAAAATTTCCATTTGTTTACTGTTCAAGTCTTCACATTTTAATTTATATAGTCAACATAAAATTTTATTTATTGTACTTTTCGTTTTTTAATGAATTTACTTTTCCAACGACAATATTATATTCCTACTCATCAGATTAATACTGTTTCCTAAAGTGTAGTTCACTGGCGAAAATCGCCGGAAAGTGCTTTCAGCCAGAAAATTCTCCAAATTTCTTACGGTTGTAACCAAAGCAACCATACGATTTCCATATTGAATTAGGGTCATAAGAATGTTCGTGAAAAATCTCTTTTTTATGTCACCGGTCAAGGACGTTGTCGGTATTTTGCCTTATCCTTTTATATGTCAAATTTATTGCCGAATTACATTAATTTACTCCTTTAAGAGTTTTTGTTTTTGTACAAACGATAGCAATATTCGTCAAAACATGGCAACTCCAGTTGTACTTGCGGCTACAGTAAAACATACATCAACGGTAATTATTCACTTTTCTGGGTATTTTTATTTTGTAATGAATATTCCTCTTTTCAGTTAATATTCTTACACGGATTAGGAGATACAGGGTACATACCTGATATATATTTACAAGGATTAAGAATAATGTAATATTTTTTAGGCAAGGATGGGCTAGCGCAATGGGTGCTTTAAGGCAACCATATGTAAAGGTAATTTGTCCAACAGCACCGACAATGCCTGTGACACTTAATGCTGGATTTCGAATGCCAAGTTGGTTTGATTTAAAAACACTAGATGAATCTGGCCCAGAGGATGACCAAGGTAAGTACATTATATGTGATATTCCATTGATAGGTACTATACAACCTGTTAAAAAATGTGGTTTAACTCTATGTATTTTTTGTGTGTAATCTCATGTATAATTAAATAACGATGGTATGTATAAAGCGAATCTAGTTTTTTCATGTTATTCTGATATCAAATGGGTTTTGCTTATATTAAAAGCTATTACATAAAAATTATTGAATTTACAGGTCATCAGGTCGTCACTGTGTAAATATAGTAAAATAAGGATCTATAAAATATTTATCATATTGAGCCATTTTAGATTAGTCTTTAATAATTGTTGTTTTACGCTAACAATTTATTTATAAAGTAAAATTGGGTACGTGTAATGTACCAAATTTATTAAGGAAATTTATGAATTTCTTCTTGAAGTTATGTATGAATTAGAATTATGTTCTAATTTTTTCAATTTTTAGGTATAAGCATAGTAAAGTTAATTGTTTCAGTGTGTTTTTATAGAGCTCCAATTAGCAAAGGAGGATTATAATTTTTTTTTTCATGTTATCTAGTAAAAATATTCTCAACAAATTCAAGGAAACTTAATTCACTTTCTATGTATTTTTATGAACTGTGACTTGATTGCATGGTTGATGATAATATTTTGAGTAAAAACGATTCAAGTCTTCATGAACTGTGTAAAATAAATTTTCTTGAATAAATTCGTAAATTTATTCAATAACTTTGTCAAATAATTCATAAACAAATTGTCGACATAAAGTCAGCACAATAAGAGATGAATCTTTTGCACTATATCCTGTGTTTTACGTAAAATAAAGTAATGTCTGACTAATGACAAATACAAGCTATGACTATGACTATGCACTAATACTAAGCTGTAAAGATAAACTTATTTACAAATAAAGAAAAGTAAATATAATTAAAAAAAGTCAACGATAGTGTTAAATAATAACTTAAAATGTAAATCCTAATTACATCCTAAACTACTAGGAGCTACTAAATAAAACTGCTAAATCTAGAGATAAATAAAAATAAAGGAATTAAGTACTAAGTCGTTCGTTCAGCTTGGGATGTTGTATCCTTGATAGCATTACATTTACAAAGTCTTTTAGGCCTTTAAACATATAGCCATCTAAGGAAATCTATTTGCTGGAATGTATATTTCATATATATTGCATTTTCTCAATTGCACCGTTTATATTTGCCATGTTTATTAAATATTTAAAAACCGAATTTGATATACCTGTTTTACAGAATACACTGTTGTCATCGCGATCTCTAAACTCGCAGATCATATATAAACCAAAAGATATAATAAAGTACCGAGAAACTAAATGCCGTGATTCATTCGGTTTTATTTGCTCTATGGTTACAGTGTTTTATATAGTGTCTTTAAATGACATTCTATTGTAAAAATTTTCCTAATACATACTTATGGCACATTCTTTTAGCCACATCTCGCTTAATATTAGAGATAAAATCATCATATGTCATATTCTATTGGTAGTAGCGTTCTATGCAAATAAATAAAGGGTGCTGTATTTAAAAAGATTTCTTTTACTTCTTAATGTCAAATTGAATGTTAGTCGGACAGTTCTTATAAAAAAAGTTAAAGGTATGCTTTTAAAGAAAAACACTAATTGTATTTAAAAGATCTAGTAGTCAGAAATTTCATTAATTGAACAGTTTCTGCATACTGTACATTCAAAGTTAAGGTAATTAAGGTACCAGAGGATCAATATATGGCGAGGGTAGGGAGCGATCTTGAATATGGCCATGACCTTTTGACTATATGTTACCGGACATAATTTTAAAAAATATGTATAATGTATGCAAAGGATAGAGAATGAAACAGTAATACAGGTCTTTCTTCTTTAATATATTTTTCTAAAGCCCTGTTTTTTAGATACAGGTCATTCCACTTTTGCAAAATAATTATATTTCAACAAATTCAGTTAGTACTTTTCATTACAATAGCATTTCTGAGAAAAAAATATTTCTTCCATTTTCTTCAAAGAACGAGCCGTTATAGAGTTTTTAATTTTAAAATAAGCTCGAAAATAACTAGAAAACAGTGTATGCAAATTTTTTAATTTTAATTTAATTTTGTTAAAATATAATCTTAAATACAACACAATATGTTAATTTGTAAAAATCATTGGCATTTCTTTAAATGGGGCACTATATTTGTGTATGATGTATATGTTATGATGGAACATTTTCTTAAGATCATACTAATATGAGTTTGAGAGTGCTGTTAAAATAATATCATTAGAGATAAGCTCTAAAAACCTTATATCACTATATTGTAAGAAAAAGTTCTACCCAACCAGAAAAAATATACAGGGTACTGGTGGCAAAACTGGCAGTGATAATTAAAATATAGTTGCATCAACATAATCCTAATCAAATTTAATCTATGGTCTGCAAGTTCCAAAATGTTCCTATAAATAATAAAATGGGAAGCTAATACAAGCAATATTCCTGATGTGAGCAAACCTTATAAAAATGTATACTCGACGGCCAAAATTATAGATAGTGATTCATCGCTAGCTCTTGGACTAGTAAGGGGGATGAAGCGTGCCGGGAACGAAAATCCATTGGCGTGTCTGCGTAAAAGGCAACAAGATATAGAAAATATTAAAAAAACATAATAAAACATAACATCTAATATTTTTTACGGTTTGCTATAACCGGCACTTTGATCAATTTTAATTATTACAGCATTTTAAAACGTCTCAGTTGTGTTTTTTTAATTTATAAATTTATTATAGCCATGGAATTAGACCCCTTGTCTACGCTTATGCTATGACGTTTCTCAGGTCGGGCAAATCCGTTTACACCCACTAAAAAAGCATTTCCCTATTCCCTACCAAGTGCAAAAGACAGAGATAAAATATAGATCGACGTTCAGTGTAACTGTCTATACACTATTATAGATTGTACCGATGTGCATGGCGAGCGGCACAAAGATAAATAATATTGAACCGTATAGAAATCATTTTATATTTTATACGCATTATGGTAATAGTGTTTTTATATTATGTATTAGTCACTATAATTTCGGCCGCCGAGTATAGTTTATATAAATCTTTTTTATTGGGGTTCACCTTGTAGTTATTAACTGTTGAAGTAGAGTTGCAAATCAATTTTTTAACATCATTCTTTTTGTTTCTCACTAAATTTGGATAATTTTTAATACATATTTTTTGTCACCATTTTTAAAAGTTGTACTTTTTGAAAGAAAATGGTCTATTTATTTGTTATCGATATAACAAATCGTTTTCCAAGTAAATGCAATTAATAATAAAGATAATCTATTTTTTTAACATTGATATGGTAATAAAGAACTGAACATAACACGATTGATCCCTTATTTAGCAAAATAAATGTATAATGCCTAATAAAATTTGATAATACATACTGATTTTGCTGCATAAATGACTAATATTTGTTTTCATGTATCTTTGTCATTAAACACATTTTTCTTGAAAACGGTTTATTGTATCGACAACAAACTAGTATACTTTTTTTCATTTAAAAAGGGTGGTAAAAATTAAAAACCAAATTTTTTTAGGTGCTAAGACTGCATTGGATGTTTTGCTCCCAGACCCCGAAAGTTGCAAATTGCTTCAAAATTTCCTAAAATTATCCAAATTTAATAAAAAAAAAGAGCGGTAATGAAAAATCCATTTTTACCGCTCAGTTTCAAAAGCTAATAATCTATGAATGCAAATAAAAAAATTGTGATGTTATTTTCGTGAGCTCTACCCAAATAGTGACAATCTCTTGAGATTGCCACTATTTCTTGCACATTCTTTATATCTGACACTTGGTATTTAAGCTGTGATTTCACTTATATCTCATCATTTTTGAGTATATAGATGGTACATGGTATATAACATCGAATATAACATATATGTCATTCTTGTTTTAATAGTTTTAATTGTCATAATTATTATACACGTGTTTTCAGGAATTAAAACGGCTACAAAGCAAATTCATGCCTTAATTGAAAATGAAATATCGTCAGGTATACCTGCTAATAGGATACTTCTGGGTGGATTTTCACAAGGTGGCGCTTTAGCACTTTACTCTGCTCTAACTTATCCCCAAAGAGTGGCTGGTGTAGTAGCCCTCTCAGCTTGGCTGCCATTAAATAAAACTTTTCCAGCTTCTAAGAAAACAGCTGATGATATACCAGTAAGTAAAATTTTGTTTACAACTTATAATTGGCTGTGGCTTTTGGATCATTTGTGGGAATTTATTTATATTTTATGTACACGTATGCCAATGAAGATCATCCTTTTTTTCCCTATTTTGTACACCTTATTGAAAATACATGAACAAAAACTATACAATAGATTTTACTTCGTTCACTTCTCAAATTTGAATTAACGAAGGAATTCTAGTAACATCTTTCTAATCAGCTTATTTTAATAGTAAGAACAGTAAGAGCCAATATTTTTATAGTTGTAAGTGTAAAAATATACAGGGTATTTCATTAACAAATCTGATACATTTGGTTCTTAAAATTAATGCAACTTTTATGTAGGTATATTTAATTTAATGTTGTCTCCAGAAGTCACTGTACTCTTTGTGTACACTGTAAAAACACTCAAAAATAGTTTTTGTAGGCTACTCTTTCTTTTTCAGATTTTACAGTGTCATGGTGATTGTGATCCAGTGGTTCCGTACAAATGGGGACAGATGACCGCTTCTGTCCTAAAATCTATGCTTAAGAACGTTGAGTTTAAAACTTATCGAGGGTTAATGCATACTTCTTCCGATGAAGAACTTCGTGACATTAAGCAATTTATTGATAAATATTTACCTAATCTATAGACTTCTTTTTTTCCAATGCCATACCTCTTACTTTTAGAGTATGTAATTCAATTTTGTCCTTTTTTGTTTTGAGACATTCCCGTTTTTGCATGCTATCATTTTTAGATCGTTTAATGTATAAGCAAATGTATATTATTATTAATTTATTATTTTAAAATCATTAAAAGAACCACAATTATGGTTTAGAAGAATCTTAGTATTATTTAACGTAACCTACACTTGATTTGTTCAGATGTGTTTCGCTGTGAAGAATGATAAATATCTTCCAGCAGATAAAAAAACTACCATTATTAGGAAATGAAGGTAAATAAAACGCCTCAACAAATTATGTTAATATAATTTCTAAAATTCCTAATCTATACTGTTTCGAATTTGTATTTCTGACTAATACATTTCGTCTAAATTTTAACGATAGTAGAATAGGCAATGCATTCATAGTTATATACCCTACTGCTTTACTTTCTCCCAATAAAAAACTGAAGTCGCCATCTCTCACAAAACCTATAACTTCTCTGGAACATGAATGCCTTATACTGGTTGCCTGAGGAAGCCACAGTTCTTTCACTTTGCTTTTATAGTTTTTTAATATATCCATATCAATGGGAATAATCTGAAAATATAGTTTTCATCAATTTGAAAATTATAGATAAATGACTTACCTTTCCATTTCTTTTGGCTCTAACTCTTCTTCGTCTCAATCTTTTTAATAATATTCTATGGTTTTTCGTTAATTCTTTCCTTAACTTTTCATTTTTGTCTGGACAGTTTTCTTCAACAGGTACTTTTTTTACATCTCCTTCTTGGGGAAGACAAATTATAGCAAACTTTTTACATAAACCTTTGCTTGCAAATCTTATGCTCACTGGAATTAAACAGTTATGGAAGCATTCTAGTTGTTCAACATTTTTTGATTTAGAAGATAATACATCCTGCAATAAATTTAAATATTTAATATTATGAGACCATGCTTTCTTTCATTTTGGTATTCCTTGTAAATAAATTATTAATTCAGCAAAGTTTCCACATATAGAAATATACTTACCTGTATCATTTTTAACTGCTTCTGATCTCTTAAGACAAAAAAATCCTTAATTGGCTCTGCTTTTTCGTTCCACTCATTTAGTAACAGTTGCCAATTCCAGTCAAATGGACTTGCTATTTTAAATTTGTTATAATTTGTTCTTTTATTTGGTGGCAGCTTGAAATACACTTCTTTACATTGTTTTGAAATTGACAGTTCTTCCTCTTCTCCTGCTGATGTATCAGGATATAACTGGTATGGTTGGTTCATTTCAAATATGATAGAATTTGTTTCTTTTAAGCCACCTGGTCTGGCGCCCCACATTATCAATGAAATCCAAATAGGTTGAGCCCAACCGGATGGAATAATTATATCCCAACCACTACTGTATCCTAAAATGATATATTTCAAAAGAGCACAAAGGCTGCACAGTAAAAATTCTTTAAGTTTTCTATATTAGACATTGGGTAATTTTTTTGCACTAGTACATCATAATTTAATTTTCATTCTGGAAACTCTAATCTATTTCAATATTATTATACAATAAATCAGTTATAACTGAATTTTTGTAAAATTTCGTAAAAGCAGATACTTATAAGATTGATCTTCAAATATAAAATCACATTTCTCAGTGTAAATTAATCAATTATATTAGTTTTTTTGTTGTGAAAAACACTTACCAATATGCTGTTGATTTCTTTTCCCTGGTCTCTGTATAAGCATAATAGGAACTGGTACTGCTTTTTCTTCCAAGTCTGACCCTGGGACTAATAAGTTTTTGCGCAATTCAGTTAGCTTAGAATTGGAAGGTTTAATATCTGCTGCGTTCTTTCTAATAAAATCGCTCCAAATAGGACCTTCTGCAAGAAATTCAGGTAATGGATAAATATTCTGCGAAGATGCAATTTCTGGTAAAGATTTTGTACGTTTTTTTGGAAGATGTAATCTAGGATCTTCAATAATTAGAGATAAAATCATATGAGGCGGTAATTCGTTAATGGCAGAAATATTTTTTAAATTGGACCAGTATTCTCTTTGAGATTTTATGTCTGTGGTGTAATATTTTTCCCATTCTAAAATGTTTTCATTACTTTCTGCTAGATGAAAACAATTTTGAAGAATACAGTTTGCTAGTGGACCTGTTAGTCTGAATCTGTTTAAGTTTAGTTCTTTTAATTCTATATTTTTAAAATTTGTATAAGATTTTCCTTCATTTGAACAGTCTACTTCCATACTACTGGCTTTTAAATCAAAACAAGAAATTAACGTATCTAAGGCTTCAGAATAATAAGCAGCATGTATCCAAATCCATAATACATGTTTATTTTGAACTAGGGAAGGTTTCCAATTAAAATAAATAGTTCCAATAGCTTTCTTGTTATCCATCTTAAAGATGGTAATACCACCTTCCCTAGAGCCTTTTGAATATGCCTTTGCTGCTATGCTTAAACCCAAATGAGGATCTGAAATTTTTTTAAAATTATCTATAATGGCATCACGAGCTCCGGTTATTTCTACACAATTGTAATATGAAATATCTTGTAGTAAGCAGTGGTTAATAGTTGCTCTATAACAGGCTCTATAAGTTTTATCACAAGTACGAAGAGGTAATTTGTATCCCCATTTTTCAATCATATGAAATCTTTTGGCATGCCACAGATGAGTGTTTAACCATTTATATCTTTTCTGCCTTCTCATATAATCACTTGTCAAATTATTAAGCCTACGTCTATATTTGCGTGAAGGACGTTTTTGCTGAATTAATAAACCTGACTTCTTCATTTGATTTAAATGAATTTCTCGAAGACGTCTTGGCAATCTCTTAGCGTTATGAGACATAGCTCTTCGTCTCATATGCCTTGGAAGCTTTTGAAAGGCTAATTTTGTACCTGATGTGTTGGCAAGAGCAGATTTCATAATTTGTATTTCTTTACCGCGGGCTGCAGTAAATTTGGACACTGTTAAATTTTGTGGAACTTCTTCCTCACTGTTGTGCGATCTTAAGTCCGTCATTTTTCTAGTTACAATTAATCTTTATTTCTCAATTTCAACAAAAATAGGATCTTGTCGCTTTATAAAATGTATATTAATATTTAAATATCATTAACACTTTCAAACACTGCGCCTTGTTCTTCTTAAACTTAAAAAACATAAAACATAACCTAATCAACCACAAAACACAAAAACAGGGAGACTCGTAGACCATAGACAAAGACATCATAGACCTTATAAACTAGGACTGCCCAACTGCCATTATTCTATGGCTAGAAATTGGCCTCAATGATTTGGGATCGAGGGGGATTATCCCTCTTTATCCTGCCTCATCTCGTGTAGGCCTG